GCTCCAGCTCGAACACGAAGTACCCCCCGCAGTGTTTGGCCCGTAAGGAGTGCGGTATGTTATATGAGGGCCAGGCTGGGTCACAGCACCCGTTAACGTGGGTCCCACACAGAGGAATAGTGACCACGGCACCCGTGGCGTTCGGGAGGTCTCCGTTCAGGTAGATAGGGACGTAGGCACCGCAGTGGTTGGTAGCTTGGCACTGAAATGGGGAAGATTTTTTTATTCTATTTTATATGTTATTATCTTATTTGGAGAGAGGGAAGAAGGGAGAGGAAGCGGTAAACATACTTGACAATTAATTCAAGTATTGACGACTGTTTTTTATGAAGCCTCGGATGGGAAGTTATTGTATGTTTTATTCTGAACTGATTTCTTTTGTTGTCGTTTTCGTAAAGACCGAACATGTACTTCAGGTATATATAGAAAATATAACAGTTATCAAGTTAAAACAAGAAAGCAAAATATCTTTATACATATATACATGTAGTAAAAGAAAGTATACCAAACAAATCATAATTTGCCATCTAAATATGCATATTTACCGTGGACGGTATCCGTGTTCCGGCTCCCGCAATGAGACGGTACCACTGCTTGACAAACCCATCGTATTCGTCGTCGCATTTGTGGGCATAGTTTTTCCCGTTAGCTACATTTCTCCACGGCTGGTCTAAGACAGTGTAGTTGCTGCAAGGGTCGTCGACTGAAAGTATATTGTAACAAATTGAGTCTAAAAAAGGAGGGGTTTGGTCATAGTGTAGTCCATGATAAAACAAAAAAGGAAGAAATATGATATCCACATTTGAAGTAATTGGGAGCGTAGATACGTACATCCATTTCATTTTGTGCTAGTGTATAAGGACACTTCAGTTCGGGACTAAGATGTGTTGCATGCGCGCGCGCGAGTGCGCGTGTGTGTGAGAGAGAGAGAGAGAGAGAGAAAGAGAGGGGAGGAAAAAATGAAGGGAGAGTAGGAAATAGAGAGAGAAGGTAGGTCAGGAGAGAGAGAGAGAGAGAGAGCACGTACACGGCCACCACACAGAACTCTCTGTTGTAGCTGTGAAAATATCACCCATACTGGCACTTGATGTAGAAGCTCCGGGAAAACCAGTTTCATTATTATAACTCATGGAAGTTGCATTTTCCAAGCACTCTGCTAGGGCATCCAGTAAAAAAATTATACTTTGCTTGGTCAGCCGAATCCGGAGGTCTAGGAACATGCTTCGCTTTTGAATGAATGTTTCTAAAGAACAATATTTGCAGCGTTTAGGTAATTTTAACGTCAAACTTGCAGTATTCAAATTAAAAATCCCTTGAATTCTGTTTACATAACAATTAGATAAGTAAAAAGATTTTCAGAAATTTTCAATGCCGTGAATTCAAATTTTATTTGCTTTCTGATGCCTGTTACCACTCAATTTTACTGTTATCAATTAATGAACAAAACATTCAACCTTTAACTTTAAATAGAATATCAAAATAGCAAGATTTACTTTTTGGAAAATGGCATTTTGATCACTTACTTTGCATGTAATTCGTGCATTTATACTTCACAACAAATCTTTTTAAAATATCCCGTTGATGTTCTCGTAGTCTTAATTCCACTCGCTTGGCGAAGAAGTCGATAGTAGCATCGGCAGGGAGATTTTCACAGAAATAATACAGTGCTAAAACCAACAAGACACGGGTTGTCGGCGCCATTTTGTAAAAAAAAATTTGGAAAGTACAGTGGTGATCACAAGTATAGATTCCCCTTCCTCGTTTTAGTGAACATTCATCACATTATATTCTAAACAAACTGCGGTTGTGTAGCATCGCACATTAAATTTTAGCTGTGCATGCATATGCAGATATTCATCATGAATTTATGTGTTTGTGAGTCACTGCGCTAGTCGATTTCATGGCTTTAAAACATGATACTTCGTGTACAAAATATGAGAAAGGAATAGAAAGAAACATCAAGCTTTAAAATAGATGTGTTTCGAGCAGGAGATTATATGTTAAAGCCCGCTTCATTGCAAATGAACAATCACTCCAAGTGGTAAAAGGGTCTCATATTATAATGGCGCGGTAAATTCTATCCTCGAAGAGTCCACAGTGCACTCCCAAGTAATCCAGGCGAAAGATACTCACTTAGAAATCAAGATGCAGAAAATGAAATGTAAACAAATAATGAGTTGCATCCGTTTTTTCGACGTTTCCCGTTACGTGTGTGGATAACAAAATCATTAGGTATTACTAGTAATTCGACATACATACGTATTTATTTATTAACCGTCAACTCGGCCTGTATTTTGTACCAGTAGTAAAATACTTAAATTGCTTATAAAAGCCCCCCTCCATTTTACCACATATATATACTCTAAAAACAAAACCATACACATGAAATTTCTTCTGTGAAAAGAAGTACAGAGTGATCGTGCTTATGAGTTATTCACCCTGGCGTTCATTTTTTCTTTATCGATTATCTTGTATGCGAAGATATAATCACAATGTAGCATGCATTATATCTATTATTATTATAAATATTTTTGTTATTTTATTATTATTATTATTAGTAGTAGTAGTAGTAGTAGTAGTAGTAGCATTTTGATAATTATTTATTTATTTTTTAATATTATTATTATTATTATTGCTGTTGTTGCTGTTGTTGTTGTTGTTGTTATTGTTGTTGTTTAAAGTTAATTTAATTTTACTTTATTCATTTATCTCCTGGGGGAGGGGATCCGCATACTCACCCCACCATGTTTTTTTTTTTTTTTTTTTTTTTTTTTTTTTTTTTTTTTTTTTGCACATTCAATGTACACCACGTAGCAGTTCAGGACGATACGTTTTTATCAAATTGTACACGTTCATAACTTTTTAATCATACATACTCGTAAAATGAGAGCAATCATCTATATATTTTTCGGGTCGGAAGATACGGCAGTTTTTTTTTTTTTTTTTTTTTTTTTTAACGGGAAGGAGGTAACACGATTATGCAAAAATTTTATCCCTGCTTAATATGTATTTATTACAAAGATGTATATTAGCATGGATCACTCAAATTATTTCATTTTGCCGTTCAGCATTGCTGAAAGGCGCGCCATTGCCGTGCAGCTCAATAGAACACAAAATCACTTGCGCATGTAAAAACAATAAATTGCTTTAGCGAAGTTCCAAAATACAAACATTTCTAACCAGAAATCTATGGTTTTCGTTTTGCAAATTGTTTATATATTATGTGAAATAGCTTATTTTACATTCGTATATGTTAATCTAACAGCGTAGCTTATTCAACAGTAGCTTTGTTTTCGCAGTAGTTTTGTTTTTTAATTATGTGAAATAAAATATGCTTTATAATGTATTGGCAAAATTATCAAAAGTCATCCCAGTTTAGATCCCACTTTTAATTATGTCACATATTCGCATTTACAAAAATTAAAATAATAAATGAACTTGACAGCAAAGCTGGCAAATATACAGACACCATACAGGAACAAGGCAGAAAAGCTGACAAATGTTCTGACATTACGCAGAAAAAAGTGCATCAAATAATGTTTTGGCCAATTTCGATGCACAGTCACATAATGCTTTAAAGCAGCGTAATCAATCTTACCCTCTTACATTAGCTACTACAGGTAAGGCACTGTAAATGCTAATGTGTGAAAAAAGATTCACAAAATTTTTTTTAAAAAACCACAACTACCGTAAATATGAACCCATCATGCCGATTTCCGAAAGCAACCTGTCTCTTAACCAAACAAAGTCACTCAGTAAATTTAAAGCGACATCGACGGCACGGACAGGCAGATCAATCAGAATGTATAGACAATTACAGTGTCTGTATATAATTAAATTAATAAATAAAAATGAAACAATAAAAATTAATAGAGAAACAGCAGCCACATCAGCGCGAGATATTCTACCATTACATTGAAAAAGTTTATCTTCTTTGTCCTTTTAAATGAGATAATATTCAAACACATCTAGTGTTGTCAATGTTACATTAGAATCAGTCTGATCACTGTTGAGTTTGTACTATGGTGCCGTAATACATGTTAATGTATAGCTTTTCAATAAAATTTAACATGACATTTTATCTCAGGTCTTCTGTGTTCACGAAAGGTGACAAGTACGGCTCCAAGTTGGGCTTTATTTCTAGAACCCGACGAACGCCTGAAAGTAGAAAATAGATGTACACTGATGTGCCCTTATTCATGTTAATGAGATAACAAGAATGCGATTTTTACGTACGTGGATGATATTAATATATGTTACTCCCATGTGTGGCTTTGATATAATCTTTGATAGACCTTGGAGAATAACATCCACAAATGTTATCTAGAAATCGTGTTTGTGCGTTTATATATCTATCATTTTGTTTATAAATTAAATAAAATCCTTTCCTTCTGTTTTTTTCTTTCTCATTAAAATACAATTTCGTATTCAACAACTCACCTGACAACAAAGATTTCCCACCCCTTATGTCACTAAGCTTAGGCTGTTTCTTCTCATCCCGCCGGAACTCCTCGTCCTGTAACTTCTGCTTGTGCTTGGCTCCCTGAAAGCCTCCCATAACTCCATTAACAGTGTCTTCATCAAGCCTAAAACATTTAAGGAATAAAATATTTTCGAGGTTGGTTTACGGAAACATCACACGCCCTGAAAGCAACCAAAATTGCACTGTACTTGTAATAGACATATTAATCAACATGAAATAAATATTAAAAAAAGGAATAAATTATTACTATTAAGAAAATTTTAATTCAAATTCATATATCAACCTTAAAATATCGTTCTCTATGCGGCAGGAGATAAGTGTTGAGAAAAACTGACACATAAAGCTGACTTTCGTCACATTTGGTGACTTTAATTCCAATCTAGGCCAAATTAAAGGATGAAATAAAGAAAAAGACACCCATGCTTTTAAAGATAATTTTGCAATTGGGCAACACGTCGAGTATACCTAGCTGATAAACCAAAAATGTTTTCTTAAATTTAGTTATTAAATGTACAACTTAAAGCAAAACTCGCCTTCCGGCATTGGGTCCTTTCTCTCTCGGTTGTATTTCCGCGTTGCCATGCAACAGCAGCTCAAGTACGTTGACAGCGTAACCGTCGCAATGCGCCAGTGGCGCCGCCATGTCCTGACGATGAGCAAGCCACAGGAGGGTTTTCTTTATCAGCTCCTCGGTGGCTGAGGCCACGACCTCTTTCGGAGCTACCATCAGCTGTGTTTGCAGACAAACTATCTCCGCTTCTATAATGGCTGTTACCTGAATTAGATAATTAGAATAAAATGGGACACGTTCAACAAAGACCTAAGACCGACACTTTTAGACTAAATTTCTGTCAAGTTTGACCCAAGACAAAGCAGTAGTAGTAGTAGTAGTATAGTAGTAGTAGTTTCATTAAAGAAAACGTAGTGCAAGAAAGAAATGACACGTTGTAGACAAACAATTACTTTATCTTACTACACGTACTTCGGATTCACCCTGAAAGTGAAGACTATCTTTATTTCTTTAGATCTTTGTGAAACCATTCCCAGAACAAGAATTATGACTAGAATACTTCTTGATGATGCACCTTGGTCCACTGTTTAATTCTACTAAAAAGAAGGACGCCCTTTGAATATCACATGCTTGTCGAAGGATGGGTAAAGCGCTTCAAAATATTTTGTATATAAATAATTAATCAAATAAGTCACATATGTATATGTATAGTGTTTACCCTTACAACTATGTGCTGCGTGAGAGAGAGAGAGAGAGAGAGAGAGAGAGAGAGAGAGAGAGAAAACTCACGTCCGTTCTGGCTTTGTGTTTCTGGGTAGGGAGGCGTATCTTTGAGCGCATATATGGTATAAACCCTTCAGTTTTTTGTGACATTTCTGCGCTGTCTCGGGCCTCGAGCTCCTCGATCATACCCATGTTTTGTTCATAGACATCATACAGCATTTGTTTACTGGCTGAAATGGGATTGAAATGTGACAAGCAATATCAGTTTCTTTATATCGGCATCACCACAAAAAATGAGGACTTTATTCACCAAATACTGTTATTTTTATAATCTATAAAAATAAGATATAAAAATATAGACAGATAAAGCAACAGTTACAAACTCATAGAAAATATCAATAAGATGGATGGATAGCCATATTAAATTATCAATAAATCAATAAGTCAATTGAACTAAGCAATTAGTCAGTTGTGGAGGCCGACCTTGAAGTGAGCGGAACTGCTGTCTCTGTGCCTGCATAAAATCACGCCTGCTTCCACCGTGGTGTTTAGCATCGCCGTCATGATCCATGTCCTCCTCTCCATCATAGTGAGACTGAAAGTCAAAATATAATTTTCCTGTAACGTTTTGTAATAAAAAACCTTTTTTTTTGGGGGGGGGGAGGGTCTGAAACACCATGTCAAGCACCCTTATCTTTGTAAAGTCTTTTTGCTAAATCGCTTGCAGTGAAAAATTCTGGATTTCAGTTGTATTAATTATATAAATTTCGAACAGGATATCATTAATCAAGCTAATCAGACATACTAAAATGTTAAAAAATAAGGCACGGAGGGTGAACTTATAGATACAAGTACGCACTCAGAGCGCGGTGTCGAAGAATTTGCGACCCGAGTTTTGAAACTCAGGCTGAATCGTACAGCATTCCTCATCTTTATTGCTATTAAAACACGGACACAAACCTTAAGCCAATAGGTAAATACATGAATTGGGTTTACTTCATTGGGAATTTTATTTTATCAGTCCGCAGTTTCTTCATGGCTTCGTGCAGACGCACGTGTACAAACGGTTGCACGCACACACAAACACAAACGCACACACACACGTTTGGGAACGCTGTTATCTATTTTTAAAGCAAAAGCTTATTTTTTATCATTTCGTATCGGTGCATTTAGCGCCATTTTTATTATGCATGAACTTACCTGGTAATGAGCAATGGTAGGTCTATGCTCGTAATCCCTCCTTGACCTTACGTCGTCTGGCGATTTTTCATAAAAACCATAGCCTTGACTTCCACGATGGCCAGGGTCCATCTGACCACTTAGTTGATTCTACAGTTAAAGTGCTTTCTTATAAAAAAATCCAAGACTCTCAATAGTCTATCACATGTCAAACCTTGCCCGAGCCTGTTTAAGAATTGCATATTTTGAATCGAACAGGCACACCGAAATTTGGTGGAGCCATTTCTTTCTTTTTCTTTTAATATGCTAGCAAGAGCATATCGGTGCACTTATAGCGCCATTGATATTACAGGTGTATGTATGAACTTACCTGATGATGCACACTGGCGGGTCCCCCAACGTGAGCCGGAGAGTTTTCATGGAAGCCACAGCCTTGACTTCTACGGGGGTCAGGGTCCATATGACCACTTGGGTGGGTCATCTTCTCCCCAGTGGTTGAGTTATACGAATTTTGGTACTGCTTATCACTTGCCTTCTCTATGTAGCTTCTGTCCTTTCTATGAGCCATCTTGTAACAATACTGTGAGACTTGCAAATAATTAAATACGACTGTTGTTTGAAACGAAATGACACGGCTTGTCAGAAATATAACCACAGAACGAATTTGCTAGTTGAGTGAAAGCGCGAGGCTATGCCGCTGGTATTTATGTACGTTCTAAGGGTGGGAAATTTCAAAATCATTTAATGAGTCACAGTCTCTTTACTCCCAAACAAAACAAAAAATATCGGTCAGGAACTTTGTACTTTCGATTTTTGAATACCTCTTTAAATGTCATTGTCGTCCTACCCTTGCTATCGGCTGATGATAACTGGGCTTTGTCTTGTGATAAGTGGGCTTTGTCTCGTGATTAGTTATCTGGGCATCACCAATCAAGAGTGCAGATATGATTACAAATTCGGTTTTTCCCAGAATACAATGATTTTTGGAAGTCACATAATTTACAGTGAGAAAACCAAACAGATCTATGATATAAATACCAAATATCCAAATAACACGATCATAGTGACGCTCTTGACTACATGTAGGACATAGCAGTGGCTTTTATTTGGAAAAATGGTGAAGTGGTTTAGACTGAAGTGCCCATGTCCTGTTACAGGCTGCCCCAACAGGTAAGTAAGAACACGAGCGATTTCACATTCTAAGGAGGGGAACATCTACTCTTTGTACAGTTGGACATGCACTGTACAAATATATATATATATATTACTAGAGAAAAAGGGATAGTGCAGTATCGGCCATGATGTTTATTCACTAAGCAAGTTTTCGTCGATTTTTTACCTGAAAACCACAAAAAACAATCCTAGTCTCTTTACAATCGCTGATTGTGGGGCGAGGGGTACAACGGGTACAGTCTCTCTTATGACTTCTGAAGTATCCCCTTCTTCTCTCTCCCCCTCCCCACCAAGGATAATACTGATCTAGCAATTCTGGACAAAAAAAAAACTATTTTCCATCCCTGTGCCCTACACATTTCATTAAAGTTTTCCTAACATTTACCTTATCCTTTTTTACAGTCGGGGAAAACTGCTTGAATGGGTTTGTGCAAGGGACAATGACGCCATGTACATCAACGAGACCGGCATACTGGCGTGTACGCACGATAAACACGTCGGTAAAATTATCAACTGGAAATTCGATTGCGGAGATAGAAGTGGACCACACAAATACGAACACTACCAAAGTCCCGACTATGAGGGTTTCACGCATGCAATGGCTATGGCGTTACCACACATGAAAGAAGCCGGGGCAGACTGGGTTCTATCTCTAGTTAACGCAGTGAGAATCCAATATGGGAAGTGAAAAATCTCACCAACATTTGACAAAATAACTATGCAGGAACTGATAATGATTGTGCAGTAAACATTTGTGTTATATCATTCTGTATAATGTCAGAACTTGGGGGTTCTCATCTACATATACCCGTCTGAGACTTGATGACACTGATGACAGTTCAAAACAAAATGCATAAGGACTAAAATGAGGTAGAGGTGTACTCCGACCATGAGAGTAGGGTGGGTGGTGCACGTGGCGCGTGCCATCCTCACTTTCTTTTTTTAAAACATTCATTTGCCGGTGCAGCGCTTTTGGTCGTCATCTACTCACGAAAATCGTGTTATTCCAACCGAATTTGAAATATTTTTAAAAACTCTGTGTTTATTTATATTTCTGAGCTAACAGAGGACTTTACCGCCATTGCAGAGATCGAAAAAGATAGATTTGTGTATGAAGTATAGTTCTAAAAATCTGGTGTAATTCGCTTTAAATGCACTTCATTACATGTACATATAAATTCTATTTCAAATCTTCATAGCTTTGGATGAAATATGCAGCACCCCGTTTACGAAACGATACATAATTATGGAACTTATTCTAAAGTTTTTAAACACAAAAAAGCCATTTGATTTTTTTATCAGCATGAAAAAGAGTAAAGTTGATCATAAACCAGTGCAAGATCTGTTAGACTCTCATATATATATGTAAATGTAGATAGATCGACGAATCTTTAAACACTGATGAGGATGTTGTTGATATGCTTTTTGAAAAGCAAAGTTTGCTTTAATGATAGTACAGAAACGACATAAGTGCATACTATTAGGTCAAAAAAAAGTTCTCTCACTTCTATTATTATCAATTAAACTTAATATTTATATTATTGCAACCTATTACATGTACTTCATAACTTTATATTCTGTGTATTAACGGTTTTTGTGTGAGTGGTGCTATTTGAAAAATTCTAATTTATACCAGTTATAAAAAAGATCTAAACTTCCAAAAAACATGATTACTTTTTATGTAGTGGCTGGACCCACAGAAGTAGAGAGTGCATGCAAACAGCAGACGGGTTTCTGGCAAATTTAAGATACACAACGTACTTGTACAGGACGATACTCTCGTTTCAATCAGAACGTAAATGTTAATAAACTTTGACTCAACTTTTAATACCAGAATGAACTTGTAAAATGCACAGATACGAGTAATAAATAACAATAATAATCATGATAATCATACCTAGACTATAAGTTAGATAAATTTGCTATTTATCTTTTTCGGTGCATTGAGGTAATCTGTAAGGTGAAGTTAACATTTAATAAACGATGGAAGGTGCGTCAGTTTCTTTTCTGAAAAAAATAAATGTAATATCTATTATCACTTCATCACAATATGCATATACTTGAAGTTTTTCATAAAAAGATGCGGATGAACATGGGCCAATCAAATGATATCCTTTTATCGTTAAATACTATAAGTTCGTGCAGCTCAAAGCATACATAATGTCCCTCTTAAATTGTGCGCTATATCTTTTGTATTAACAGTAAAGGGCAACTACTTCAGTAGTAGTTTCGTCTTTCCATATATACCGACCAATTTCAAATTTTAGGATTGAGAAATAAAGTTATAATTTAAAATTTAATGGCAAAAATTATAAAGAGTAATCCTATTTGTAGACGATGCATTTTTCAAAACCCTATTTTACAATATATTTCAGCCATTTCTTTAAATGCAACATTAGTGCGATAAATGCTGTCATTTCATTTTCCCAAAAGTCAATCTTCTTTGATCTATAAAATGAAATATAAAACAATTTACAAACGTCTCAAGTACTGCCAAGGTTACACTGTCTAGCGATCCATCTAACCGTTTCGACTGTACTACTCTCTGTAATATATTTTAATGAAGACCCACCTGCATAAACTGTGGGCAATGTTATTATTATTTTTTTTTATTTTAGGTCTGCCACGTCCACGAAGCGTGATAGGAAAGGCTCCAAGGTTGGCTTCATTTGTAAAGCTCGTTGAACTCCTGAATGTAGAAAAAGACATGATATAAACCAAAAACTTTGTTGTGTAATTTCAATGGTGCCATCGAAAACAAATAATTAAATCAGAACGCGATTTCTAGACCTTCTTCGTTGTGTTTTCAACGATGTCTCTAGAATTTATATTAACTGAGATTTTTCCGCTCTAATAAAATTGCTGGAAATGGAGCTTTAACCTATAAAAAAAAAGCTCATTTTCTTAATAAGTCTGTTGAACATCCAGCAATACATTTTACTGGTACGGTCCATTTGGAGAGATTGTCGTATTAAAGGTATACTATCCGCGTTTGAAAATTTTCCGAAGTCATTTTCTCTACGTTCACATATCTAAAAAAAGGTATAATTCTTTTTTAATTTTGAACTTCAAAACGGTAAAACCTCTTATACAGAAGTAACCTTTGTCGATATTTTTTTCTGAAATGTGCAGGTGCACATGGCAGATTAAGTCAGTGGCCAGTCATTTAAAACTAAATTATTCATTCAGAAATGTGGAAAACATCAAATCCAAGTGCAGGTGGGACTGGCCTAGCAATATTTGTTGAGCAGGAGAAAAATTGCTTTTCTTTCGTCAGCAATTTGATTTAAAAGGATAAAAAACATGACCTTATATTTAACGACTCACCCGACAACATAGATTTCCCACCCCTTATGTCGTTCAGTTTGGCCTGTTTCTTCTCATCCCTTTTGAACTCTTCGTCCTGTAACTTCTGGTTGTGCAAGGCTCCCTGAAACTTTCCCATAACGCTATTTACAATGTCTTCATCAAGCCTGAAATGAATGAAAGACATAATATTGTCTCGGTTGGAATAATAATAATAATAATTATTATTATTATTATGAATTAGGTAAATTTATTGGTGAAGAATACTCCTTTAACTTTATTTTCATTGCTTTATGCAACTTTTATTTTAATTCCAGTCTACATATACACGGTCGCGCAAATTGACAGATCCACGCTGAAAAGAATCCATCAAAAGTATACCCTCGAAAACGTCACATCTTATAATTTTGTGTTATAAAGTTCATACAGTTATTTTGGTGTCCTTTTAAAGTAATTTTGAATGGAATTTCATTTTACAGGGCAGTTATCAGAAGAATACACGTCTGAGGGTACGGTACTGGTATCTATTTCGGTAGAATACTTACACTGTGCAGAATCTGTAAATCGCACTATAATTGCACAATTACATTCTAAAATCAACAACAAAACACGATAATTTTAACGATATGACTGATCCGTAAAAAAGTAAATAAATCAAAGGAGATCAATTACGTGGACAATATAACTTTCAAAATTTATAGGAAATAAATGCTGTAGCTTGAAGATGATATACTGCTGCGGTGTAATCACATAAAATCGTCACATGGGTTAGATCACAATCACAATAGGGTTAGGTCATGCAAGGTCGTGTAAATATGGCGCACGCATTTTGAAACCATCGTGTTTCATTTCTACTTTGCGAATTTACAAACATTTCGGGATTTTTAAACAAATTGCCAGCGAGCGTAAAAGTCAAACGTTCTTTGCAAAACATAAGTAGACAGCAGTTGATGAACTGTAAAGCCGCATTTTGCAACCAAAGAAAAACGTGGATATGCATTTTGCAACTGAAACGAATTTCATCCAAACCCAATATAGAGGTGCAAATGAAGTCACAGGCATGCTCTTAGAAATATTTAGTGCACAGATTGCAAACTATTTTGGTAATTTTAGAGTGCCACTTGAACAAGTTTATATCAAAGTTTCACTCTCCTGGAACCATGAATAATAGCAAGTCGTAAATGAAACATACGTTGCTGTCACAAATACAAAACGTCCAGCTGTGAAACGTTTCACTCACTTTGAAAATGCAATCATCACTGGTTTTGTTCTTTGATTTATCTCCTACAAGTAAAACATTGTAAAAAATATGATGATCTTCTGTATAGAACAGTTAATTGTTTTTGAACGACTTTATTTAGCTTGTCATTGAATATAAAAAAAAAACTGGGGAAATACACCCTACCGACAGTAAGACAAGCATTGAATAAAGTATTTTTCCACTCGTGATCCAATTATTATATCAGAAAACGATCATAGAATCACAATTTACTTTTCGGTCAGCAACAGATAAAAATGTTTTTATTGCACCAAGTACTAGGATAAAATGAAACTTTTTGACCTTTTTTCTAAGGCCCATACGTTACGTATAGTATTAGCTATGACGCAAAGTCCCTTGAGTTACAATTTAAATATTTATAAAAACATCCTTACGTCATGTATAAGTTACTATGACTGAATCACAACAAAATATTTCGGCACGCGGTATAAAAATTGAAATTAAATGAAACGTTACGTTACTGGAACATGTAAGTTATCATTTAGGACTATTTACATTATGTAAAGATATGGTATTGGTAAAAATAAAAATTAAATTAAAACCGAGACACTCGTGGATTTTTGTTCTATACACATACATGCTTTAAATTAATTCAATTTTATTTTTTGGACACTTCAGCATGTGAAATGCACCTCTATATTGGATTTGGGCGATTTTACATCCAGGTTTGTTTTAATCACTGACACGTTATTTTTAACTTAAAAGCACTGTAGAGAAAATAGGAGGGGTAGGGACGAGATTATTTATTTTCATTCAAAATTTTTACTTTTATGCAAGCAATATTTTATCAATTAGCCTCCCCCCCCCCTTGAACTTGTTATTCATTACGCTCCAAAACGTAATTTAAATTAAAAGGCCGCATTCTCAACGAATTGAGCCAGGCTTTACAAATCCTGAGAACTAAAAATGGCGTGAGATTTAATTACTGTAACCTGCAGGGACGACGTGTGGGGAGGCGTGTGAGAGGCGGAGAGACTATTAAAAGATTACGCGGTTTTTCTTTCATGTACGTCCGCCATTTTTAGTTCTCAGGAATTTGTAAAGCCTGGCTCAATTCGTTGAGAATGCGGTCTAAGATCACTTGACCGGTTTTTGCTCATGCCATGTAATGCCAGATT